TAATACTTTTTGTTGCGCATTAAATAAAGGCTAAACATTCTTGTATACTAAAATTCTGTTTTATTAAAATATAACAAAACAATTCTGAATGTACTTCTAGCCGTCCTCGCCTCGGGGGACGCTAAAGGTTCTTACGAATGTTATGGCAATTCTGCAAAGCCTTTGATAACCGTTTTAGATTGTTTTAATTATATTTAACAAGCAAGGACCATATTATATTTGCTATTAGTGGTTCATGGCAGATGTCATACAATCACTTAAATGTTGTGGATAATCTAAGAGTAAAAATTTGAGTGAAGCTTGTTCTTAATATAAAAATAAAATGTTCTACTCAAATCGCCCAATTGAGAAACGCGTCGATTCAGCAAGCAACTTTTATAATTATTTAATCGGTACGTAAACAACAGTACAATTATATCACTATAATATAAATAATTTTATAACAATGCAGTGTGTCAAGTTTTATACAATGACAGGTGTACACAACACTACAAAAAAAAAATTCAATAGGTAGGTATCAAACATCAAGCTTTACAAAACTTTTGCACATTTTTGTCACAAGCTCACCGTGTAATACATGATATCGACAGGGAAACGGACTAGTTGATTGTTAAAATGACGTGAGATCAAGATCAAGAACCATCGTCGAGTGAAATAAGAACAGTGCAGATGAATTCTGATAGCGTATTATATTTTTATAGTTAGAAGGGATCTCTTTCGTTATTCTATTTAGTTAAAATAAAGTCTTCATAAAGTAAATAATTAATTTTAGCCTGTCTTTCTTCTTCTTTTTATATAAGAATGTTTATTTATTTATATTTTAGTAGCACATGGGAAGATTGCCAGAAATAAATTTGACAAAGCTTATATTAATTAATTGCCAAACGGCCAAATAATTTTTCACGCAATTTTCGTTTTTTTTTTAATTTAATGAAACAGTTGGATTCCTAATATGGAAGGTAACATCATACTTTCCATATTGGGAACTCAAAAATTATTTATTAAAGTTTTATATGAACTGACCGATGAGAAATTGTTGAAGATGTTACAAAAATGATAACGTTGTATATAAGTTTATAATTTTCTTATTATTTTTTGGAATATGAATATTAGTCAAGATATAGCTTAGCGTGGATTCCAAGATGAAGGCTATGGGTGATTCTTGGGAAATGTGTTCTCCGTGTAATTTCCAGGGCATTTTTGAAATCGCAAAATTATGGCGAATTATATAAATATTTCGAAAACTTTTGCAAATTTAAACAACATATTAAAATTGGCCACGACTGAGATCTATACTTTTGCTAAAAAAAAATGTAGAATATTGGCGGACCATGGAAATTACAATAAAGGCAATAGAAATTACACAGCAGATAAAATTTTGCTAAAAACCATGTCATATATGAAATTAAGCTGTCATATTAGTTAGGGTAGTATTAAGATCTACCTACATTATACTGAAACGATATACGATAGTACTTACTCAAAATTGGAACGAAACGTAAACACGTTCATGTTCTCAAAAAACAAAATTATACAACGTGTTATGGAAATAGCGCAAAACCTCTCAGGTTTGAAATTTCAGCATCTGGCAAATTTTTCGAAGTGACGTTACATCGGACAAACAAAAGTCGGGCGTCGAAGTAAGATATGCGATGTATTGAAACTTCGAACAATGAATGCTTCGACGTACTCGTATAGTTGTCGATGTATCAATTATCGAAGAAACGTGTTTCGAAGTGACATAGAGAACCCTTTTTCGAAATGGTTATTTATTTTGTCAATTATCTTATAAAATACGCATCCTACGTCAAATATCAATAATTAATTTATTGTAAATTTAATTGGCTTTCATTAAACACCAATTTGGTACCTGTAGGGCCAGTAGTTTTCTCAAAAACGATAGATAGCGAACACCGGTCATAAGTAGATATTAGGAGGTTATTTCAGTCAAGATAACCCCCTTGGCTATCTATCGTTTTTGAGAAAACCATTGGCCAGGTACCAATTTAGTTTTAGTGTTTAATTTAGTGTTTAATCAAAGTAAATTTTTACAATAAATAAATAAATTATATAATATGTTAACTTAATCCGGTGATATTTAAGACGATTTAATTAAAAAAAAATAACCAACATTCAACATTTAAGTCTGTATTTGGCGATGGCGTGCATTTCATTGAAAACAAACATTGAACATAACGTTTGTTTTTTTGCAACCAAAAAGAAACGAGGTAATTTCCATGGGTGATACGTAATTTCTATGGTGTTTTATCCATGGAAATTACTCCATGGAAATTACCAAAAAACATATATTTTGAAATTACTCTGCATTGAAAAGATATAACCGGCTAGTTTTTTACTGTTTATCTACATTATAGAGCTAAGTATTGCACCTTAAAACACATTTTCTAGAAGAAGTACAATTATATTGAAAAAATGTGACATGGCAAAGCCGGATAACTGAGAACCAAAATTTAAGAAATTGAAGAACTTATTCTCGCAACGAAAGCGCGGGAAACTGCGACGTGGCCACCTCACATGCTAACTGCGGCGTAAATGACGATTCGCAAAAACCAATCGGGGTTCGTCTACGCCTCTCCAGCTCAGAGCAGTATCTCGCGCAAGGCGCGCCGCGAAAATTTTGCTAAGCGTGTGACACGTATACTTCTGACCATAAAATCAAAAGTTTCCTTCCGATTAATTTGAAATTTGATCAATATGTAAACCGATTTGTATGTAATAAATGTGTGTAACAAACCGATTAAAAACGTGGGTAATTTCAAAAATATTTGCGATTGCTCAAAAGTCGGCGCGCGTGTGACACGGTAAAAACGTGCAAAATTGACCGGATTTGAGGTGTTGAGGGTAAGTTACTCCGATCTACGTCGTTTTTTATCCGTGAAATCTATATGACAAGATGCTAAATGAAATGAAGAAACGATGTAATAGTAGTTTTTATCATAATAATTTATTTTTATAGGAGATATGTCCCTGTGACACTCAAAAATTGCTTTTTCAAGAAGTACCCCTATAGATTTAGCCCATATTATGGAGTATCTGAGGCAACGAAAGTACTACAACACCCATACTCGAGACCAGGTATGGGCAACCTTGGACATATTGTGGGCCAAACATTAGTTTGCAAATACGTTAGCGGGCTGCGTTTAAAAGTAGTACATTTCGAAGTAGTGTTGTAGTGCTCATATTTTTTTGCGATATATATCACTCATGAAATAATACGACAATATTATTATAAATTAGGTTTTTCAAAATGTCTCGCCGGCCGGCATTTGCCCACCGTGGCTCGAGACAATATAGAAAACTGATTTTCTACATTGACCCGACCGGGTATCGACTCAAGACCTCAAAAACACCTTAAAACCGGCGTGCGCCAGTAACAAAACCTCAAAAAATACTGAAATGTTGGTTTATTACCTACGTACATTTTAAGTAGATACAAAGAACGTTATGTATTATTAAGCTTTATGTTAAAAACATCCACCATGCTTCCATAATAAACCTTTCAACATTTTTTATGCAAATAACAAAATCAAGCTAATTTTGTAAATAAATTTATCGGAATTTCCTTCATACTTGACTAGAATATCGTGTCAATAAATTGAATTCGGACGAACTCGTATTAAATAAACAATCGACGGTCGTGAGGTCGAATGGTATCTACAAATACTATGAATTATTTAGTTAGGGAATCAAAATGTTGATAGAGTATTTTGAACTTGTAAACAAATATGACCCTGTACTCTTAAAATCGGCATTCGATGTACTGTGGTGGACGATTTCGTCGACTGTCTTGGAGTCTAATCGTTTAATTTTAAAATCCATCGCAACCTTTTAAAGATACTTACAGAATATGTAATGTTATAAGTTACAATCGCTTTGTGATAACGACTTTAAATGTTACGTTAGTGCGCTGTCTTTCTTCCTCGTATATCAATAAAAACAGATATATAATATTAATGGACTTCAGGCTAATACTATTATGGCAAAATGTAAATAGTCTATTGAGATGAGATTATTACTTATATATTAGCAGTATTGGATTACGGATACTGTAATATCACTCAGGTCCTCAAAGTGGAATAATTTCTGATAGTTTATGATCGCATATCGCGGTGTATGGTTTTTCTCATTAATGATCCTGAATGAGATATAGGAAATGAATCAAACTCCCGTCAGACAAAATAATTCATTAGCTTCGATACATTAATTGTTGTCACGAGATAAGTAGGTAATAATCACAGTAAGTATTAGTAGAGAAGAGTAACCTAATATGGAATATATTCAATTCATCCATTATTATTACGTGATATTCAATTAATTTTGATTGAATGACAAAGTCGCTTTGCATTTATTTTTGCTTCGATATAGTATATAGCGATAGTCGAGTTTTTTTAACTTATATATATGCATTTTTTTACATGTAAGAATATTTCACATAAGTGCTTTTGTTCTTTATAGTTATAATATTTATATTTATAACGAGCTTTCCGTGTATTTTTACAATTTATTCTTAACCCTCCTGTTATCTAGTTTTCTTTTCTTCTTTTCAAATTTATTTCAACTCTGAGTTTAGGAAAATACAATATATATAACAAATTGAAGAGCTCGTCGAAGTTATGAACACTTTTATTGAAATCAGTTTAATTATACATGTTTTCTAAATTTTATTATATTTTCCGGGCTTGTCACTTTTGTGTATATAATACGGCTGAATCTCCTTTATAACCCTTAATATTGACATTTCTTTTTCAAATATTCATAATAAGACAAAATTTGAAAATTTTCTATAAATCCAGGGGGTAATTTTAATATTCCTTTTAAGTATAGGTTTGGTTACATTTCTATATACTAGTCTGTATATTATAATATCTACTCATTTTATTTATAGCTACAACAGTTTAGCAGTTATGTTTAAGTTTGAATTATTATGTTTTCAATGTAATAATATTAGTATAATTTCTTTTCCGTATAAAATAACATACCCTTCACCAAATTCAGTTCTGCATTGCTCGTCCATAGTGAACACGTAGTTAGAGACTTCTTTGGCTCCTCCCAACTCGACACCATCATCTTGACTCCTTTGATGCAGACACCACCATTTCCTTTGATAATAAAAAGTTATTTAAATTTAAACAAACATGCCTTAAAACTTTATAATGGTATATAGAGCACAAGTCAATCCACGATAATATTATGGTTGGGTTGTAAAAGTAACTATCTAAAATAATTTGATAAAATTGAATTTTATCGACAAGTCATGCCTGCACCACTGAGACACAGACCTTCCCTATAAACGGAATTCAATAAGAAGAATGAGAAATGATCCAACAATTGGGCCCAATGCATATTGATGGTTAAGTGGAACATATTTTATTATATACTAATATTGTAAATGCAAAAGCAATCCCACCTGTATTAGGTAGGGGAAAAAGTCTTTTCGCATATAGTATGCATAAACTTGTAATATTTTTTTTCTGGCTATACCATTTGTATCTGGCTGGTTTCGATATCATTAAAAAGTTTAAATTTTATAGAAGATAACTCCTAATTTAAATTAGGTAAATGTTTGATTTTTATTTATTTTTCTTACTGTCCAAAAGAGTGAATCAATGTGATATATTTTAAAATGTTATTACAAAAACAATTGTGACGTTTATGGACCTAGTACAGACCTTATAGCTATGCCTATAACGTCTGTACTAGGTACTAGGCCAGAATTAATCAATTAAAGTTGTGTGGTTTTCCATTATGATAACGCTAGATCTCACACTTATTTTACTACTCAGTAAAAATTAAGAGAGTTTAGCTGGGAGGTATTACCTTACACCTTCAGATTTCCACCTGTTTCGGTTTCCACTAGTCGTGGGGTTTTGATCAGAAGCCCCAAAATTTCTATAGCATTGGGATCATATTGGATTTGGATCATCATCACTACTTACAAGACGGCAAAAAGTTATTGAACTAAATGGTATCTACATGCTTTAGTTAAATGTAAATAAACTATATAAAAAAAAAAAGAATTTTCATATGAAATGTGAAGAATTATTTTTACCAACTATTATGTTGCTCTTACATTCAAATCGTAGACTAAATTGTAAAAACAAAAATTTTGTAGATTAGAAATCGACATAGACAAAATAGCTTTTAAACATAGATGTATTATATTTAAGTGTTGCACATTGAAACATATTGATGGATTAGACTTACTTCACAATATATTGTTTATTTTTAAGCGGAAAATTTGAGATAAAAACTCGTTTATAAATTCACTCTTTATTTTATATTATTTTGGTTCTTAGTAATTTAATACCCATTTTATGATCGTGCTTATGATATCCGTTTGTATAAAATAAATATAAATCTAGAATAACTGCTTTAAAATACAACTGTACGATTTCAGATATATACAAAGCAAATTTAATAAAAAAAGGTAGTAACGTTAATCGCGTCCTTATATTTTAAACTTCAAAGCAAAATAAAAATTATATTTGCACACGTTCTAGAAAATATTACATTTCTTAAGTATTCGGGTAAAAGTCGTCGTCATTAGGGACAAGTGGATCGGTATAAAATGCCTTTCAAGGCTCAATTTATTCAGGAGCAAGTAGCCAATGAAGAAAGGATGCTTCCGAATCATTCAACGGGATTGCCTCTTAGCATGCTAATTGGGTAATTTTGCCGTAGGGGAACTTGAAAGAGTATATATATTGATCTTTATAATGGGGTATTATAGTCTTTTGTGAGTACTTTTGCCTTATTTTTACTATAAATATACTATACTTATGTTAGTATTTATATTTGGGTGACGATTGGATACATTATGCTTATGCTTTTTAGAGAGAGAAAAAGGACAAAAAACTATCTACGTACCAAATTCACCGCATTAAGAGACAATAACGTTTTCAAATTTCTAATCAAAGTTACATTTAAATAAACTTAACATATTGTTCACGAAATTGTTATTAGGCCTCTTTTAACTAAAGATGTTATGTTTTATAATGAACTCACGGAATTCACTAACCAAATCCTTATTCGTGCTAAAAATATGAAATAAACTGTTCTGTGCCATGTGTTCACCTTTGCTGTTTCGTAATTCATCATACATCTATTAAGTGTATTTAACTTAGAATCTGAAAAAGGGTGTCTAAAATATTTATTTGCCAACTAATTAAAAATGTCAAAACTAATATTTTGTCAAGAGAAAACATACTTAAGCATTAATGTCTATAATTTCTGACTGCTCAAATCGAAACGGAAATTTAATCATGAATAATAGAAATCGATAGTTCAATTTTATTGTAATAGACAATCATGCCTCGAATACAAATGTTGCAATTTATACGGCAATATCCACTAATTTTAAAATATAAATGTGTAGACTACGGACTAGCAATCTAAACAGAATTATTGATGTTTTTTAAAGAAAATTATATTATGAAACATGTACTTTAAATTAATATAACTAACAGAATCACCGTACAATATATTAAGTAATCGGATTAATTTTAATTTTATTACGTTATAATAATAATAATAACACTTTATTGTCAACACCACAGATATCTTCACAGATTTTACAAACTAAACAATACATCAAAGTGTAACAAATGGCGGTCTTATCGCTGAAAGCGATTTCTGCCAGACAACCATTGGATGGATAGGAATCTTAATTATAACGAAACGGGGGTAGTAGAGTAGGTAATTCCAAATAAATAATTGAAACATAACAATAATAGACACCAGAAGTTGACAAATATAATATTCTTGCATAAATACATATAACATAATACATAAAATATGATACATATAAATACTAATGAATTGAAGGAGGGGTTATTAGCAGTTAAAATATATTAAACAGATAAATAATGTTCTTTTACCAATTCTTTGAAGATATTTAATGATTGAGCGCGTCTTATGGAAGTCGGAAGAGCATTCCAAAGACGCACAGCTTGGACAGTGAAAGATCCATCATAAAAAGTAGTTGTACGGAAAGGGGTTTCAAGTTTCAGGTTTTCCGATGACCTCAAGGAAAATGAAGTACAGCAGTATAGCAGATTGAAGCGTTCTTTCAAATAGCGCGGATAAAGGGGGTTAAACAAAATATTGTAAAGGAGGGATACTAACTAAAACTAATACTTAATTATAATGTTTAAATTATTGAAGTTGCTATTTAGATTCCTTTTTTTTAGATGATAGGTAGTATCGCCGATCAATTGCCGTAATATTCACAATAATCTTCTGGTAGTTCTATAGATTAGTTTCGCTCAAAATATTTAGCAATCAGATTCAGATCTTCGTCTACTGTAACAGATATGTCAGCAGTCTAAAACTAACCGGCCTAATAAATTCTCCGGTCTGCTTTACCAATATTACTGATATTAAACGTAAATATCTTTGAACTTGTATAAGCAGTACAAAACAAAGCTCTTAAAACAGATCAATCAGTAATTTTCCTTAACCAACGAAAGTCAAACGTTTAAAGCGTCAGTTCAAAGACTGATTATATATCTCAGCTGAAAATTAATTTGTGAAATTAATTTATTAATCAATTACTTCGTTTGAAGATTGTTAATGTGAAATATATTGAAGAGGGCCACAATTTGTAAAAATCGTTATAAAAGTATCAAGTGTGAGTAAGTATTTAACAGAGTAAAGACGTAAATACAGCTAGAATGAAATTTATTAGCGGATAACTGAATGACGTAATTTTGAATCGCCTATGTTATATTTAGATCAATATGACTAATACCTAATAGTCAAATTTACTATTCTAAGTAGTTTTATTAGTCAGAGACATCATAGAAGTTCAAAGGAAAAAAAAGCCTTAAAAAAGCCTTTAATAATACTAATAAAATATCGTACTCCAAGCAAAGACTTACATAGAACTCTTTGACTGCAAGTAATACCCTTTTTACTACAGACACACTGATTACAATTTTTATTTGTGTACAAGTTTTTAAATTGAAAAGTGTGAGATCGCTAGGATATAGTATTTTCAATTAGTTACCATGGATCTATAAAGAAAGGTTATCTAATTTGTACTCGTATTTTATTAGATTTCTTTAAAGGTTCCAATATGAAACTGCTATCATAGGACGGTTTTATATTCACTGATATCATTATTTTATTTCGTATATTTTAGAGAAATCTTTAGATGCTAGTGAAAATTATAGTGTCAATACAACAATAGGAATTTTTGGTCAGACATCTTATATGTAGGCTATCGAAAATCCTTATAGCTCTACAACTCGGTAATAAGGCAAAAGAATACTTCATCTTAAATTGGTTTTGGTTTTACAATGAAATATTCAACAAGAAAAAGAAACAATTTTATTTATTATTGATTTGTTCATTTTGCAAGTCTAATTCCAATAAATAAAATTAACATTTTCCAAGACTACACTAATAACCCATAATGACATAGGTACTTTGGTATTTTCAGCATTCAAAAATATATATCCTTTTATAAAAACTGATCCATAATTATTAGTGTTTTGATGAAAGTAATTAAACATCTTTTGAGAAAACGATCTTATGTAGTTTTGAAATTAACAAAATGAACAATAATATCAAATCAGCGTTAATGTTGGCGTCTCTTTTGTTAAACTAAACTTACTTGGACTTCTCATGGAATTGTTCCTTGGAACACGAAGACCATGCGTAATTTTGGAGGGTTGCAAGTACTGTTGGCGACATGACAGACCCTCGAAGCGAGTCCTTCTCGCACTGTCCATCCCCATCGTGTGTCAGCCCCAACCTGAGTGCAGAACATTTGTTATTAATATATCCCTTAATGGAAGGACTTCATTTTTTTTATTAAGGAAATTATTCATCACAAAGTTACTAAGCATTTTAACAGAAATTAGTAATACTTATACATATAAATGTTTATGACATGAATGGATCTGATAAATTGTAAATGTATTTGGATAATGAATTATGTATTATTGACCATTTCTTTTTACATATAAGTATTTAAAATATCTCTATAATTGTAACGTAATAATGACATTATATCAATCAAATTATATCATACTGGTTTTAGTTTTTTTAACGATCAGTTGATAGCAGTTTGATAAAACTAGGCACTATAAAATTCTTGACTTGTGAAACGTAAAAAACTTAAGTTATCGAGGATAATTAGTTGAGATTTTGTACTTTTTCAATTCAGAAACCGGCCCTATGAAAATAATTGTGCAAAATGTACTACTTATTGCTATATAGAAAAATTATTTTGATACAACTATTTATGCGAAAAATATATGTTAAGATAAAAACTAAAATTGTGCCATGTTTCTGCAAATAAATTATTGATATTCATAATTTTTGTAGGCAAATATCTGCAGGTGTTAAAACAGGTTAGGTTTAAAGACATTTACTCTCATAAGAACTGATATTTGCACTTATAATTAGATTAAAATTATGTTTTTGTAATCTAAGATCATACAAACAAAGAGAAAATTCAAATTCAAACGAGCACCGTAACTACAGTCTACAGCTAGATACTTATCGAAATAAGAATATATTACATTGTCGAAAATGAAAACGACTTTATGTATTTAAACAAAGAATAATTACAATAAAAACCATCAGAAATACTGCACTGTACACATCACATAATACATTAAAATAATAAAAACATATAATGTTTCTTTTCTATCTCCCATGGGTTTGCATAACATCATCTATTGACACTAATTACCATTCATCAACTACTACCTTATGTATTTCTTTTTTTTTAACTATTTCTTGTTTAATAATTTTAATAATAACAATCCATACAAATATAACAACAATTACATATTCTTATAGACTAATATCTTACATCACCATTATTTACTGATGACATATTCATATCTTTCAAAGAGTTTAAATTTAATAAATAGATACCTACTTTAGATATTAATTGATTCCATTAACAGTTTTCCATTTTTATCTTTATAACATAAGATCAATCCGTTATAATATCAAGAAACATACTATAAAAACATTTACGACATAGCCTTTTTTATAAACAGTTTACGCTTAACGCACGTATATTTATTACAAGTTCAATTTGCTTCTAGAACAGTTTCTAGATAATCGCATTGAGCTTTAATTATATATATGTATTCAAAGACTTCAAGTTATTGGAGATAAGCGAATAGGGAATACTTAGTATTATGATAATAATTTATGCCTGTTAGCACTTCTTCCATGGCCAAGTGGTTCGTACGCTTTCCGTTCCGTTTAATTCCCGGTCGGGTCAGTATTGGAAATGGTCTATAGATTGTCTCGGGTCTGGGTGTTATAGTATATTCTTCGTTTCAATTTCCATGAAACAAGTGCTTTACTACATAATTTGATAACCGAGCAACATATATCATATTCTATTTATATGCAAAACAATCTTATTAGCTCTATTAGTAATTTTATAGAGAATCAGAAAAGACTTCTTCATCCTTTGATATATAAATTAATTGAAACTTATTTAAACCATTTCATAATTATTTGCGCTATATTTTTAAGAATATGTATTCAAATCAGTACGAAATATTATACAGATTTAGTATATTTACTAATCAATCTTATAAACTTTTTCGTTTACTTGACGCGTACTTGACCGCTCTATACGGTCAGCGGGCAACTTTGCCGGTCATTCCTCCTGACTCATATTTCTTACGTTCACTACTGCTAACTGCGGCTTCTTTGATCGGCCTTTTATCAATTCCCAACGTGAAGCCTATTAAAGACGCCGAAATTCGCACGCGAGTGAGTTAAGGTGCGACTGTCAGCGATTTGTCTTGTGCGTATAAGAGATGGCGGCATTCTATAAGAGTCTTTGATGTTCGATGTTTAATACCCAATATGTGTAGAATAAAAAAGCATTAATATGATTGATTGATTGGTTTTGAACGTACCACATGAACTTACAAAGGTCCAAATGAAGGTATATGATGAATATCATTGATAATCGCATATCGCGATTAATTTTATGACAACTATAAATGTATTCATACATTTTAATATGCCACTTCTTTGACAAAATAGTTATAGGTAGGTATTTATTAAACTACCTATTTTAAAATCATCACTAATAATTTAATCATATTATTTGTAATCTTAAGTAGGAAATAAATAATATTTTCATATAAAACTTCTATGGAATCATGTTACTTCACTAATATTTAATTTTAATGGCTATTTATGCTCACTAGTTTTAAACGCAATGCCTGCGTATATTATAGTCAAAATAAATCGCGTAAGAAGTAGATTGCCGTAGGTAAGAAAGAGAATTTATAAAATCACTCCAATTTTGGAGCCTTTTCAAAGCGAACAAACAAACAATCACATCTCTCCTAGTTATAATATTATTATATATATTTCTGAGTATTTACTTACTATCTAGAAAAGTACAGACAAAAAGATACAGATAAGTATTGATACAAACGAGGTGCCAGCCGCCCGAAAAATCGATTTTGATTTTACATTTCTACTGCAGTGTGTCGGAACGGAAGCTTTGTTTTTAAATTATTCATCTCGCATCGATCACAATCACTCAGTTTGTCCTTATTTTCACCCGACAAATGATATTGACGTTTTGTTCTTTACTCAACTACAAAAAAACAAACGAAAGGATCGACATAAATGATAAAATAAATGTCAACATCAAAACTACAACTTTTTTTGTGTAATAATAGCCTCACTGCCCGTTGCTCATAAAAATTTCGTCACTTTTAAGCGACATTACCTATATTGATTTCTTTTATTTTCACGCACTTTCCATAAATGAAACTACTCATAAACGGTTTCATCGCGTTTGTATTTAGTTTTAGACGTTTCGGACCCTTTACAGGACCTGTTTAAAAGTTGTTTCATTTATGTGACATTCCCAACACAAATTTTAAATTTAGAACACTAATTAGAGCTTAAAGTCGTCATAAAATCATAATGAACGTGTGCAACTACATTTTACGCAGACTACGAATTAACTACTTATGCTATTACTTTTAATTTGCCAGTTCAAGACTTTTTGCTGTTACATAGTGAAAAATATAGAAAGTTCCACGAATAAAAAATTATCGGTTATCTACATTTTTCTGTGAGTGTAAGATAAAGTTCAATATTTCACACTGTATTGGTAGCATTAACCCAATTATATAAAATTCTGTTTCCACCAACATTTATCTTCCAAATACATATTACGTAATTATGTCGTTACTTCCGCCAAGATGTAAACAAAACGCTGAATACAAATAATGATTAATGTCTCCGTATGTTTACAGGAGTTTTCCCTTCGGGCGATTAATTAGTCCTAGTGAACCGACTAAATTACGTTCGAGAATGTAGCATGATGACGCAAGAGCATAGCTAACAAGACCTCGACCTTATCTATACGAAATAAGATTCAAACGCAAAGCATGAGATGACCTCGTTATGTGATTCTTAAATGAAATATGAGAGGATGGGTAGGAAATAGCAAAATATTCGGTTTTAATGGTACAATAACGGTTAACTACTTGTTGTTGAAAGCCCTATTGTTAAAATGATCTTTATTTTTCTAGCAAAGAAAGTTTTCCATTGTTACTGGCAAACCATGATACCATACATGTGTATTATGTCCATAGCTGTAAAGTGTGAGTATTTTAAAATTATGGGTCTAATAATATAATAATAATAATTTTTTTTTCAGACAAAGTCCATAGATTTGTTAGTAAACGAGAACTTTAAAAACTTTAAAAAAAAATAAAAACTAAATATCAATAATATTTATTTTGAGGCAATCGCAACGTTCGACTGGAGTGAGGTAACGCTATGCAGATTGTTAGTACCATAATAAATTCAATAGTTGAAGCAAGATAGCGAAAACGACTATGTGGTACTATATAACTGTACCTTAATAGATGGCAATGATTAAGATTTTGATAGAGATGATGAGGATAAGAAAACACGAAGACCATAATAATAAGTATCAATGGCTGGCATCTACCATCTGTAAACTAAGCTAATACAAGTATATTTATTTCTAAAATAAGATTATATTTGACTAGAAGGTATAATAAACGATTAATATAATTTTACACTATATTATAAATCTTTAAATTTACACTAAAAGTGTTGTTGTATAGCAAAATAAATATAGCATCCTGATACATTGTCCTGGTTCTTCATCATCATCGTCATCATCATCATCACCCACTACAGGGGCTCAGGCCTTCCTTATGGATCATTAAGGAGGATGGGCTATAACCCTCCACGCTGGCCCAATGCGAATAGGAGGGTGTTAACGACTGCAAACGCAGCCGGGACCAACGGCTTAACGTGCCTTCTAAGCACGAAGTAGATCGAGATAATTTTTTTTTGGTCACCCATCCCGTTACCGACTCTTGCGAAAGTTACTTAACAACAACGATCGCGGACCGCGGCGCTTATCCTCTAAGCCACCGAGCTACGTCCTGGTTCTTAAAATAAATTTAATACACTCATTTTCGGGGTACCTATTCTTACTTTTAAATATCTATCAAGAATAATTTAAGATATGTTTTATAATATCAAATCTAAATAATCAATCATCGCATCTAATTTAGACGAATGTTTTCCAAATCAGTGGTTGTTTCTTGTCTTTCGTTATCGTTTCAGATGCAGTCAGTTTTCAATCCAAATATAAACATCCAACATCAACTCCTACATGTGTTTAGGGGAACATGGTGTGCGTTTAAGCGTAATAAGTAAGGGTAATGCCCGTTAAATATTAGTATTTTGTTGCTCCAAGCCATC